TAGAGAAGTTACCAAAAAAGACCAGGAAGGATGGGAGGAAGACTTTGAAAGACAAGAAGCGAAGAAGGAGTGGAAAGAACCAGAGAAACATGAGCAGAGGGGACTGGCGATAAGGAAAGGGTGAAGGAGCAGGAGGAAGTTCTCAGAAAGATAATGGAAGCGAGTGCAGAGCAGCAGGAAGGGAAATGATGAGAGAAAGAGGAAAGAAGGGGGAGAGAAGCAAAAGTTATTTCAGAGGAAGGAAGGTAGGGAAGAAGGGAGGAAGGAAGGACAAAGGTAGATAAAGGTAGGTGGAATGTATTTGTAATGTAAGTGAAATTGTTAATATATATGTGAAGAATGAGACATGCAGTAAATGCACGTATAATGTGACGTTAAGCAAAACAGACCGACATGATTTAATGAAATATTTGGTTTGCGAACACACCCCATGGTTATTGCACCTGGCCCCAAATTATTTTGTATCTTGTTTTTGCTTTACAGAATGATTTGAATATTGTTGCAAGAAGAATCGCGTGATGTATTGTTGGATGCAGGCAACTTCACCGGGCCCTGGTTGGCGTGACTAAGGATTTCAACCAAAATATAAAAAGTTTTATCTCAGACTGAAGGTCATCGGTTTGAAACCAAGTTTAGAGCAGCCGCATGGAGAACGTCGCGCTGTGGTGGCAAAGTGAGGTCGTGTCCAGATATAAACCATCAGATTAGGGAAGAAAACGATGGAGCAAAACTACAGTCCAAGTATATTTATATTGTTAAATATAATGCACCAAATAAACAGAGAAACGAGAGAGAGAGACAAGCAAGTGGGGAGGAAATGAAGTAGGAGGGAAACACAGAACTACAGAATGAAGGAAGGAAGACAGGAGGAAATGTACTAAAAATGAAGGAAGACAGGAGGAAGGAAATGAAAAAGGAAATAAGACAGAAGGAAGGGGACTAAAAAGGAAGGAAATAATATGGGAAATGAAAAGGAAGGAAGACAGAGAGGAATGAAAAGGAAGGAAGACAGGAGAAGGGGACGAAAAGGGAAGGAAGACAGAGGGAATGAAACAGGGAAGCAAGCACAGGAGGAAGGGGAACGGTGAAAGGAAGGAAGACAGAGAAGGAAACAAAAGGAAGACAGAGGAAGGAAACGAAAAGGGAAGGAAGAAGGAGGAAGGAAATGAAAAAGGAAGGAAGACAGGAGGAAGGGAAACGAAAAGGAAGGAAGACAGGAGAAGAACGTGCACGAAGGAAGAATACAGAGGAAGGGGACAAGGAAGGAAGACAGAGGAAAGGAAACAAAAGGAAAGGAAGACAGGAGGAAGGGAATGAAAAAGGGAAGGAAGACAGGAGGAAGGAAAATGAAAAGGGAAGACAGAGAGAAGGAAACAAAAAAGGAAGAAAAGACAGGAAGGGGAAGGAAAGGAAGACAGAGTGAAGGAAAGAAAAGGGAAGGAAGCAAGGGAGGAAGGAACGAAAAAGGGAAGGAAGACAGAGAGAAGGGAACGAAAAAGAGAAGGAAGACAGGAGGAAGGAACGAAAGAAAGGAAGGAAGACAGGAGGAAGGAATGAAAGGGAAGGAAGACAGGAGGAAGGAATGAAAAGGGAAGAAGACAGAGAAGGGGAACGAAAAGGGAAGGAAGACAGGAGGAAGGGAACGAAAAAGGAAGGAAGACAGGAGGAAGGGGACAGTGGAAGGAAGACAGAGGAAGGGAAAAAAAAGGAAGGAAGACAGGAGGAGGGAAGGAACGAAAAAAAGGGAAGGAAGACAGGAGAAGGAACGAAAAGGAAGGAAGAAGAGGAAGGAACGAAAGGAAGAAGACAGGAGGAAGGAACGAAAAGGAAGGAAGACAGAGGAAGGAACAAAAAGGAAGGAAGATGAGGAAGGAACGAAAAAGGGAAGGAAGACAGAGGAAGGGAACGAAAAGGGAAGGAAGACAGGAGAAGGACGAAAAGAAGGGAAGACAGGAGAAGGAACGAAGGAGAGACAGGAGAAGGGGACGAAAAAGGGAAGGAAGACAGGAGGAAGGAACGAAAAGGAAGGAAGACAGAAGAAGGGAAAGAAAAAAGGAGGAAGACAGGAAGATGGGAAACGAAAAGGAAGGAAGACAGAGGAAGGGAACGAAAAAGGGAAGGAAGACAGGAGGAAGGGGACAGGGAAGGAAGACAGAGAGAAGGAACGAAAAAGGAAGGAAGACAGGAGGAAGGGAACGAAAAAGGAAGGAAGACAGGAGGAAGGGAACGAAAAAGGGAAGAAGACAGGAGGAAGGGGAACGAAAAGGAAGGAAGACAGGAGGAAGGGAACGAAAAAGGAAGGAAGACAGGAAGAAGGAACAAAAAAGGAAGGAAGACAGAGGAAGGAGACGAAAAGGGGGAAGACAGGAGGAAGGGGGACGAAAAAAGGAAGGAAGACAGGAGGAAGGAACGAAAAAAGGAAGGAAGACAGGAGGAAGGGAACGAAAAGGAAGGAAGACAGGAGGAAGGGAACGAAAAGGAAGGAAGACAGGAGGAAGGGAACGAAAAAGGGAAGGAAGACAGGGAGGGACGAAAAGGGAAGGAAGACAGGAGGAAGGAACGAAAAAGGAAGGAAGACAGGAGGAAGGGAACGAAAAGGAAGGAAGACAGAGAGGAAGGGGACGAAAGAGAAGGAAGGACAGGAGGAAGGAAGAAAAAGGGAAGGAAGACAGGAGGAAGGGAACAAGGAAGGAAGACAGGAGGAAGGGAACAAGGGAAGGAAGACAGGAGGAAGGAACGAAAAAGGAAGGGAAGAAGGAGGAAGGGAAACAAAAGGGAAGGAAGACAGGAGGAAGGAACGAAAAAGGAAGGAAGACAGGAGGAAGGACGAAAAAGGAAGGAAGACAGGAGGAAGGGAATGAAAAAGGAAGGAAGACAGGAGGAAGGAACGGGAAAAAAAGGGAAGGAAGACAGGAGGAAGGGGACGAAAAGGGAAGGAAGACAGGAGGAAGGGAACAAAAGGGAAGGAAGACAGGAGGAAGGGAACGAAAAGGAAGGAAGACAGGAGGAAGGAACGAAAAAGGGAAGGAAGAGAGGAAGGGAACGAAAAAAGGAAGAAGACAGAGAAAAAGAAAAGGAAGGAAGACAGGAGGAAGGGACGAAAAAGGAAGGAAGACAGGGGAGAAGGGAACGAAAAGGGGAAATAGGAGGAAGGAACGAAAAAGGGAGGAAGACAGAAGAAGGAACAAAAAGACAGGGGAAGAAGGGAAGAAAAGGGAAGGAAGACAGGGGAGGAAGGAACGAAAAAGGAAGGAAGACAGGAGGAAGGGGACGAAAAAGGAAGAAGACAGGAGGAAGGGAACGAAAAAGGAAGGAAGACAGGAGGAAGGAACGAAAAGGAAGAAGACAGGAGAAGGGAAAAAAAGGAAGACAGGAGGAAGGGAACGAAAAAAGGAAGGAAGACAGGAGGAAGGAACAAAGGAAGGAAAAGAACAGGAGAAGGAACGAAAAAAGGGAAGGAAGACAGGAGGAAGGGACAGAAAAAAGGAAGGAAGACAGGAGGAAGGGAACGAAAAAGGAAGGAAGACAGGAGGAAGGGAACAAAAAGGAAGGAAGACAGGAGGAAGGAACAAAAAGGGAGGAAGGGAAGACAGGAGGGAAGGAACAAAAGGAAGGAAGACAGGAGGAAGGAACAAAAAGGAAGAAGACAGGAGAACAAAAGGGAAGAAGACAAGGAGGAAGGGAACAGAAAAAAGGGAAGGGAAGACAGGAAGAGGGACAGAAAAAGGGAAAGGAAGACAAGGAGAAGGAACAAAAAGGAAGGAAGACAGGAGAAGAGGAACAGAAAAAAAGGGAAGGAAAGACAGGAGGAAGGAACAGAAAAGGAGAGAGACAAGGAGGAAGGGAACAGAAAAAGGGAAGGAAGACAGGAGGAAGGGACAAAGAGGAAGGAAGACAGGAGGAAAGGGAACGAAAAAGGAAGGAAGACAGGAGAAGGGAACGAAAAAAGGAAGGAAGACAGGAGGAAGGAACAAGAAAAAGGGAAAAGGAGAAGACAGGAGGAAGGGGACAGAAAAAAGGGAAGAGAAAACAGGAGGAAGGAGCAAAAAGGAAGGAGAAGACAGGAGGAAAGGACAAGAAAAAGGGAAGGAAGACAGGAGGAAGGGAACAAAAAGGAAGGAAGACAGGAGGAAGGAACAAGAAAAAGGGAAGGAAGACAGGAGGAAGGGACAGAAAAAGGGAAGGAAGACAGGAGGAAGGGAACGAAAAAAGGAAGGAGAAGACAGGAGGAAGGGACAAAAAAGGGAAGGAAGACAGGAGGAAGGGAACAAAAAAAAGGAAGGAAGACAGGAGAAGGAAGAAAAAAGGGAAGGAAGACAGGAAGGGACAAAAAAAGGAAGGAAGACAGGAGGAAGGAACAAAAAGGAAGGAAGACAGGAGGAAGGGACAAGGGAAGGAAGACAGGAGGAAAGAAAAAAAAGGAAGGAAAAGGAGGAAAGGAACGAAAAAAGGGAAGGAAGACAGGAGGAAGAGGCAAAAAAGGAAGGAAGACAGGAGGAAGGGACGAAAAAAAGGAAGGAAGACAGGAGGAAGGAACGAAAAGGGAAGGAAAACAGGAGGAAGGGAACAAAAGGGAAGAGACAGAGGAAGGGACAGGGAAGGAAGACAGGAGGAAGGAACGAAAAAGGAAGGAAGACAGGAGGAAGGGAACAAAAAAGGGAAGGAAGACAGGAGGAAGGGGACGAAAAAGGGAAGGAAGACAGGAGGAAGGGACAGAAAAAAAGGAAGACAGGAGGAAGGAGAAAAGGAAGGAAGACAGAGGAAGGACAAAGAAAAACAGGAGAAGGACGTAAAAGAGAGGGAAGACAGGAAGAAAGGGAACAAAAAGGAAGGAAGACAGAGGAAGGGACGTAAAGAGAGGAAGACAGGAAGAAGGGAACAAAGAAAAAAAGGAAAGGAAGACAGGAGGAAGGGACAAAAAGAGAGGAAGACAGGAAGGGAACAGAAAAAAGGAAGGAAGACAGAGGAAGGGGACAAAAAGAGAGGGAAGACAGGAAGAAAGGAACGAAAAAGAAGGAAGACAGGAGGAAGGGGACGTAAAGAGAGGAAGACAGGAAAGAAAGGAACGAAAAAAGGGGAAGACAGAGGAAGGGACGTAAAAAAGAGAGGGAAGACAGGAAGAAAGGAACAAAAAGAAGGAAGAGGAGGAAGGGGACGTAAAGAGAGGGAAGACAGGAAGAAAGAGGAACGAAAAAAGGAAGGAAGACAGGAGGAAGGGACGAAAAGGAAGGAGACAGGAAGGAATGAAAAAAGGAGGGAAGACAGGAAGAAGGAACGAAAGAGAGAGGGAAGACAGGAAGAAAGGGAACAAAAGAAGGAAGAAGAAGAGGAAGGGGACGAAAAGGAAGGGAGACAGGAGGAAGGGACGGAAAGGAGGAAGACAGGAAGATGGGGAACGAAAAAGGAAGGAGAAGGGCTGCCCAGAAAAGCATACGAGATGTTATGATAATTCTTATATTCTCAGACCTTTCCTGCGCTATACAAGTGGATGTGTAGTACGAGAGAGTGTGTGACCCACACTCGTTGGTGTCTCTTGGCCTCTGAGAGTCTTCTGTACCTTCGTGTGTGTGTGTTTGAAGGTTCATATTATTGTTTTTTTCCCATCTATTTTCCTTTCTATGTCTAATTTTGTTCCCCATCTATCGCAACGTGCTTCCCTTCTTCTTTCCTTCACAAAATAAAATGTGTCTCGTTATTAAATGTTCCTCCTGAAGGATAAAAACCCTTAACACGTGCTAAACTTTCTGGTAACTGCTGCCGGCTCACATCGCCACATGCGAGCTTTGCCCGACTTTTACCAGCCTCTCGATCTACTGCTCAACTTTCCGCCCGGTTTTCACAAATCTCGTGAACGATACTTGCGTCAGACGCCACACAATGATCCGCCCGCCTCTTTCCTATTAAACTTTCGACGTTTTACACAATCTTAAAACGTTAATTCACTGACTTTCAACCAACTTCCGCCGACTTTCTACACAACCCCTGAACGATATTTCCGCCAGACTTGTGACACAGCCATTTGAGAAGTGTTAACTCGCAATAAGGAGGCGGAGAGAGAAGTAGAGAAGGAATAATGTGAATGGTATAATAAATATGGGAAAAGGAGGAGGAATGACAGGGAAGAATAGCAGGATGATAATGGGAGAGGAGAATGAAAAGGAGAGTCAGGAGGAAGGATGACAATGATAAGATAAAATAAAACAATCCTTGCTATTACTCTATCTCCTTATATTGTTATGCATAGGTACAGTCGCTTCTTCAATTTAACTCGGTGCAGTAGTTGGTACGTTTTGTGAGATGCAGCCTGTGTTTGTTTACGTCGTATTAAAACTCCCGAATGGCCTCAAGAACGCCGCATTAGTAACCAGAATAGGGATGCAAGATAAGATTCCACAGTGTTGCTAACATCTCACAAAACCCACCAACCGATCTGTACCTGCTTAAATTCTATAGTATATAACATTAACACCTAAATATATCTACACTAGTTGTCTTTTTCATTTGAGCTACTGCAACCAAAAACACCGAATCATGTCTTTATCAACATTGTGCAATATATAGTAAACTTTGTCACTATTCATTTACATTTCAATAACAAACGAGCCGAGCAAGGTTCTTTGTAAATGGAGGAAAGAGAAAGATCACATAGAGAAATATCCTTGATTATCATAAATCTTCACCTAAAAATAATTGAGAAAGACAAGATGGAGTGTATGGAGAAAACATTAAATACTTCCTTGGGGAGAAATACAAAAAAATGAGGAAAACTAAGATTGATTGCATATAGCTCTCTCTATCACTCCCTAACTCACTTTCTCCTCCATATTGTTCATTTTGATTTAGTTTATTTCATAATTCTTCTTGTTCACATATGCCCCTCTTCTTTCTTCTTCTTTCTTCTTCTTCTATTATTATTATTTTTCCTCCTCCTCCTCCTCCTCCTCCTCCCTCATGCCTAACCCATCCTGAACAGAACTAACGAGCGGCTCAAGAGACCTCAAGGAATAATCTATCATTGTTTAATGGCTTCAGTCTGGGAAAATAGAAACTCTTGATGCATAATGAGTACCTTCTCCTGTTTTAGTTAGTTAGAGAGAAAAGACAGAGACAGATAGATGGGGAGACACAGAGGCAGAGGGACAGACAGAGAGACAGACAAGAAAAATGGGAAAGACAGATAGAGAGACAGACAGACAAAGACAGACAGGCAGACAGACTGACAGACAGACAGACAGATGAGATTGTTTTAACCAGATGGTGTAAGATGGAATGAGGAAACATTATCTATCCCAATCTTCCTCAGGGTTTTCCTCCTCTCTCCCCTAAAAAACCCTCTGTTTTTCTGCTGCAGCTTCTTCTGCCTCAGCTGACAGTGAGGGAGCGACAGCTCCACTAAAGATATGCAGAGGCTGAAGTATGCGTTATTTAATATATATATATATATATATTTATGGTATCATGCAAGAGATATATGAATTAATATAGAATTGATAAGAAGACAGAGGAAGGAATAGTTTTCATAGCCGGTGGATGAGACGCAATATAACAAACACAAGCCGAATATCACGCTTAAGAAACTTTGAAGGCTCGTCATAGAATTCCCGAAATTATTGTCATATTTCAGATTTTCAGGAACTGAGAGAAAGTGGGAATATGAATATTCGAATTTTTTCAGAGTATATTTTCATGATTATATTTATCATATATAAGTACGCCATTTAAAGTTATTTTAACGCCATTTGAAATGAGTTAACGCTATTTGAAGTTAGTTTAACGCTATTTAAAGTGCGTTTAACGCTATTTAGCGTAAACACCACTTGCAAGCTTAACAAATTTGAACCGTGTTTAACGCCATTTGAACCGTGTTTAACCCCATTGAAGTCAAGCCTTACACTCAAGAGCGTTTAATGCCATTTGAAGTTAGCTAACGGCATTTGAAGTTAGTTTAATGCCATTTGAAGTTAGTTTACCTATGAAGCGCGTTTAACGTAACGCAAAACGAACATTTGGGCGTTTAACGCCATTGAACTTAGTTTAACCCCATTTTAAGCGCGTTTAACACCATTTGAAGATTGGCAACCCCATTTGAAGCGCGTTTAACGCCTTTAAGAAGGCTTAACAATCATTTGAGGCGCGTTTAATGCCATTTGAACCGAGCTTAACGCCATTCCGAAACACGATATGCTTATTTGAAACGTTTAACGCCATTTGAAGAGCGTCAACACATTGAAGTTAGTAATGCCATTTTCAGCGAGGTTAACGCCATTTGACGCGCTTTAACGCCATTTGAATTTATTTTAACGCTATTTAAGCACATTCAACGCCATTTGAAGTGCGTTTAACGCCATTTGAACTCAATTCTAACACCATTGAAGTTAGAACGCCATTTGAAGCGCGTTAACTCCTTTTGAAGCCAACGTTAACACCATTTGAGCGCGCTTAACGCCATTTGAACCGAACTAACGCCATCTGAAAAGGTTGCCATTTAAAGCGTTTAACGCCACTGATGCTCGTCTAGCTCCATTTGAAGTTAGTTTAACGATATATGAAGCATCGCCATTTGAAGGGTATAGTTTAACGCCACTTAGTTAAGGTTTATCGCGATTTGTGAAAGTTTACACGGTAGTAAGTTTAACGCCATTTGAAGCGCATTAATGCCACTGAATAGTGTTTAACGCCATTTGAAGTTAGTTTAATGCTCTTTTCAGCGAGTTTAACGCCATTTGACGCGCTTTACCATTTGAATTTAGTTTAACGCTATTTGAAGCGCATTCAACGCCATTTGAAGTTAGTTTAACGTCACATGAAGTTAATTTAACGCCATTTGGAGGACGTTTAACGCCATTTGAAGTTAGTTTAACGCCATATGAGGTTACCTCACCGATATCTAGATGATGAGTGGCTCGCACCAATTATTGATAGCTCAATAGCTTCGCCATTGAGAGCTGAAAGGTCAGCTCTGTATGACAAAGAAGCAACTGGTTGATAGCTTAACAAATTGTGAATATTGATAGATCGTGGGAGTATTTCACTATGTCGCCACGATGCCCTGACCAGAGCCCTTCTACAGATTGTCAATAGCCCAGATAGTTCGCCCAGATAGTTTGATGACCGATAGTACGCCCGATGAAGACTATTCGCCGTTCACGTAGTTGTGATTCGTCACCACCGCGTTACTCGAGATGGCGTGTTGTGAGGAGTCCCCGCGTCACGGGCACCTGAGATTGTATCGCCTAGACCCGTGATGATTGTCTGCTATCAATGTCCTCCTGTATCCTCAACTTAGCTGATCGATACCTACCAGGTGCTCACCATCCGCACCGCCAATTCGGAAAACGTATTTAAATCCAGACACGCTAAGACACTAAGTATTCTGGAGAAGAACCAGACTATTGAGAGGCGACATCAGTGCAAGAGCTACCCAGGCTTATATAAGGTCGTGGACGTGACCGCCGCTCTCTCATTATTATGTCATGGTTTTGTATCTCCCAACAGAGGAGCCATTCACGAGGATCTGTGATTATGACCACCCGAAAAAGCTCAAAAAAATTCTTGACTAAAATATCTGCTGATGTCACATCGTTGTTAGATAACCAGACGCCTGATGTCTTCGCCACACGTCTCGTTCAG